AATTCCTGAACTGAAGGCTACTACGGAATTACTACTCTGAACTACTACGGAACTGAACATACTCTCAAGATACACGACACGATTGGCAGTGTATCTTGCTACTTCGCGTATAGGCGGGATATTTATAACTTTTGACCTTCCTTCGAGAACATTATGGGGAAACCCGGTAATAATTCGTTCTAGAATGTTCTCGCTTCGTCTATGGCATATCGGAAATTTTGTCGCCAAATGAGCGCTGTGGCGGCAAAACTAGCAACCCTGCCTTTCCTTTCCACTTTCTGGCAGCCCTAAACCCGCTTTGCGGGGAAGCTATCTTACTGTAGCCGGGCATTTCGTAACAATATTTTAGATGTGCACATCTTATATTTTCGTAGTAATATTTTAATAACTTGTTTTTGCAGTTTGTAACAACTGAAAAGAGTAATAAATTAATATCACAGCAAGGGCTTCATTTTTGCAGGATGAATTCGGCCCATACCTCAGATCTCTAGCTTTCTGACAGAATGAAACACATTACGCATTTTTTTTTTTTTTTTCCATTTTTAGATTTTTCAAAAATCTGAAATTAGAAGATGAAATAAAACGTTAAATTTTGTATTTAATCTTTTTATGCCAGTCCTTAAAAATCGATTTGGGGCCGTTGAAATTACTAAGAAATACAACAGAAAAAAGAACTAGTTTTTTGTCCCTTTTGAAGTCATAGAGATCATTAAATTCTGATTTATTATGAACAAGAGGACACGAGTTTTTGCGAAATTTCAAAAGTAATTTTTTAGATGTCCAGGATATAAACACCGCAGAATAATATATTAAAGCAGATTATGATACTTTCTGATTATCCGCAGCCCCCGCCGAAAAACTGCGAACTCATAGCCGAATTTGGATAAATAGACAGAAGCGTTTGCTTCGGCATACTTTCGTCGAATTCAGTGATACGTCCTGTGTCGCGCATTTTTTTAAAAATTTTTGTTTAAATTTTTTATTTGGAAAGTGGTAAGTGTATTTGTAAGCATCTCCAAGGGGATTTTTGTTGGACTACCACTCTTTGCCTAATATGGGGGTTTTCAGCTGGGACTCCAGCACGTACAATTGCATTCGGTTGTCGGAACACGTATAAAGTTTGTTGTTGTCAGACATATAGCCCTAGTGTGCTTTGCCGTAATAAACCAACCCAAATTGCACGCTGCGCGAATGCACGATCAAAAACCAGCTAATATTTGAGTTTTTTTTAACAAAGAGAATTTTTGTAACTAAATTTCAAATTTTTTTTACTAAATTTTTTTCAAAACATACAATGACGCAAAGAAAAAAACTCAAATTTATAATTTATAATTATTATTTGTCTGAAATCTAAGGGATGTTATCTATAAGAAATTTCTGTTTGTTATACTTTGTAATTCTAACGTACTGACAGCTAAATTAAAAATTTTTAGACTGATACTTATTTCAAATAATATTAAAGTATTGAATTAACCTCTAAATAAGTTATTTTTAATTTAAGATAAACAAATTATGAAAAATCTTTAAATGGGACAAAACTTGAGAATAAATAATGACAACATATTTTCTTTCTTTTAATTGTTAAATTTTACTTCAAGGCATGTAGAAAAATGGCATTATATTTGCTTGTTAAATAATGATAAACGTTGCTATTTCTTACTACAATACCTCATGGCGTTTTTATTTTTATAAAGTTGGTAACCTTGGACAAAAATGACTAGATACTATCTTCATTATAAATTACAGATACTCATCGGTCAATCGGGTTCTTTTCTTTTTTTAGCTCAAATAGACGTTAGACCCAAAGGACTATTAATCTGAAAGAGGCATTTTCCGTCGTTTCACTTTGTGCGTTGGTTCACTTTTCGAACTATTGCCACCAAACATTATCGTCATATATTATATTTAAAATAATGAAGAATCTACATAAATGCATAAATGTTTCTCGCATTGTGAAAAACAACGGTACCTAGAGCCATGAAATTTTGAATATCGTAATCCTCCACCCGAAAATGAGCACCTAGAAGTCCGAATTTGAAATCTGGATTTTGTTTTACTATATATTTCATATTTTGTAAAATTTTAAGAATTTTTGATTAACAAACTCAATGATTCCCAGCCGAAATGGCAACACTGTACGGAAAAAAAAAAGTTTTATCTCCAGTGCGCGAGACTGTGTATCAGAAATTATAAAGATATACTGTTTCACTGTTTTAAAATATTTTGACATATTGTTATTGAATTGAATTTTATGTGGTTTAAGTGCGACGAACATGATATTTAATAAATAAATGTAACGCACAAACCGTTAAAAAAACGCCCTTCTATGGCTTAATATAAAATCTGAAAGCTTTCAATTTTTTTTGGAGACTTAGTAAGTTTTAATTGCGGATAAGTTATTTATTGTTGTTTTATACCATAAGTATGCCAATTAAACTCCTTTATCTCAAACTTATTACCATAAATTAATGTATCGACTGAAAACTTCTAACTCTACTTAGTATCATTTGTATCCGAAATAGAAAGGAATGGCGGTGATGAAATTTTGAAGTAGTGTATAAAATGAAATCTTTTTTGTACATTTCTTATCTTAATTTTATTTCATCATTATATTTCAATATAAAGATGGGATGAAGCCTAAATTTTATCGAATTCCTGACCAAAGAATAATAATAAGAGGCAAACTTAATTATGATAATAAATTATTAATTAAAAAAATTGAGGCCTATGTTAGTAAAAAAAATTAAGAATAGAATAATAAAAATCCACCCATATTTATTGAGAAAATGGAATGAAGTTCTGTGAATAAGTTCATAATAAAAACCATTGAATTCTCAATGCGTTTTTCCAATATAATTTGACAAATACATTTGAGTAGTAGTTCTTGTGTTTTATGTTTTTTCCAGAAGCTTTGCAAATCAAAACTAATGCAGACACAGGCGAGAGAGGATTATTTCAAGCTTTAACACAAATAAATATTAAACATGGAACTCTGAATTATACTTAGAAAATGGTGCCGCTATGAGAAATATTCTCAAAGCCGCCATGACAGGGATAGTGGGGATTCAGATTCACTGAAATTGCAAAAATTAGTGTTCTTTTTTTAATGAATGCTTCTCCTGGACGTCAATAGAACTATTTTTTTTTTTTTGAAAATTTTCATATTGAACTATAAATTTAAAAGAAGTTTTTATATTAAGACCCAAATAAAGAAAAAACTGCGCAGATAAAAGTTTTCGAATCTCGAATCTTCTTTTTAAGATTCGCGGGGTACAAGAATTGGAATGTCCTCTCCCAATAATATATTTTAATGGAGTTTTTTGGTTTGTACCATTTTATGCTGTTGTTATTGTCATGTCCATAGTACATGGAACAACGGTTACCAGAACCTACTCCAAACAGCGGCGCCATTTTATGTTAAAGGAAGAAGTGCAAAAACATAGGTCGCAGCTTTTAAAGATTAAATTTAATTGAGTTTTAATAGTATTTAAAAGTAAGGATCCGGTTTCATTGAGTGGTTACAGCAGTTATTATTTTCATTTAAAAAGAAAACTAAATATTTGTATTATTTTTTATGATTTTTATTTAAAAAATTAACAATAAGAAGTTTTTGACATATTAAACTGTAATATGAATTTTCCAGATTTCCACTTTAGACGCTATGACAAATTAAAATTATTTTATCTTACACATATGCATATGCAATATATATAGGTTTGAAGATAAATTACCTTTAAAAGAGAAGAAGATTAACATTCGAATAAAATGTTTTTAAAAAGCAGTCAGATTCTACTTTTACACCAGAAATAACACTAGGTTAAAAAAATTAATTATGTGAGGGCTACTAATTTAATAATAAATCCTCAGAGCTCCAAGATGCGGAATATAAAACCATGCAGTATCCTAAACAGCTTATGAAGTATTTAAATAGCAATGCCGAACTAATATTAAATGGGAATTGCTAAGACATTATCCTATTATAATTAAACATTACATGGAGACGATTGCTCCTTTAAAGAAAAGAACTTAATTACTCAAGACATAGCTATGCTGTCTTTCTAACCGGGTTGTTTGCTTACGAGGCTTGCAACAAATATTCCCAGCAAGTGAAATGTAGCAACAGAATTTATTTTGTCAAGATGCGAAATTCAAATGCTACAGATGTTCATGAGAGTTATCATTAGTATGTATCACAAAATAAATATATTTTAAATTTAAGCAATTATATCTACTATAAAAATATAGTTAAGATTTAAACGATTAAGAATACCATTTACGGTTTTAAATTGCCAGTCTGTTAAGCAATTAGGATTGATTATGTTTTAAAGGTGAATGAAAGGCTTTGGGTGAATGGCAACTCTGCGAATGTTGACTATTCTCGAGCCCCTATGAAAAGTTAAATTAAAGATCTAACATTTCGTGCAGTGGCAACATTGCCAAGGCTTATGGATAATAAATTCATAGCGACTTAACATAATACGTGAAAACATTTTAGAACAGAGCTTGCTAAAGACGTTTCCAACGTCAAAATTATATAAAAGGTAAAAAATATTAGTAATTATAGATCATTTTGGATTGGATCATTGGTTTCACACCATGCAGTTTATAAGAGAAACGCAATTTAAACTTAAAACATAAATTAAGATCTCCCTTTCCCACGCGAACTGGCAACATTTCTGTGATATGGCTGTTATTCGTCTGACTGCATGACTGATATATTAAAGCTGTACAATTTATATGAAACTCTGGAAAATGCTGATTTATAAACTACAAGTATCTCCAGCGGGCACCGTTCTGGGGACGATGAAAAATGTCACTCCGATTCTATATCGTATTCCAAATGAGATACATAACGCAGATACATTTCTGCCAAACGATAGACAGGCCGGAAATGACGTTCCACGTACTGATCTTTGGAGCGGAAGTCAAAACTCTAGAGAGCTACCAGAATTGAGCTCAGAATATCATGTGGATGTTTTGAACGGCGAAAAGCACCTTCGTCCAATGAGCGAGGTGGATTTCCTACATTTCCGTCGCGATATATCGTTCAGATTTTTCTTTGTTCATGGAAAAGTGTTCTTATTAAGTATTGCGTATTGTTCTCTAGAACGTTTTGCTTTTCGGTAAGTACTTCAGAAGGCTTCAGGATTCCCAGAGTTGTCATTTATTCAAAATTTCCTTTTCACAAGAGGACTGCTGCATTATTTCAGCGATAATTGAAAATAGAGAAACCTGTACGTTTGCTTGCTAAATTTTAAAAGTGATTGATAGTTGCAGAAATTCATCTTTACTTTTCTTTACTGCATGCTAAGATAATCTGCAGAAGTGCAAAATTTTCCACCGTATTCTTTGGCCGAATGATTTTAATATTTTCCTATAATTCAATAAATTATAATTAGCATAAATAAGAATAAGCATTTGTTAATGGTTATGTAACTTAAATTATGCGTACTTACATATTAACACAGCCATCTTGGCGCAATCTAACTATTTTTTACAGATGAAAAGTTATTTCTCAGGTGTAATCTGCAATTTAAAAATATATATATATATATATATATATTAGACTATCAATATTTATAGTAAGCCGGCAAACATCATCAACATACCAAAAGGAAACAAATTTTAGCAATTTAAAATACAAATATGAATATGTGATGGAGGATTGTATGACACATCATAAGGTATTTTCTCCTTTCTGCATGCCTTCGTGGTGTTACGGTAGCACACTAGGCGCGTATTCGAGAGATCCATGTTCGAGTGCCGGCGATTTCACGTCTTCAGCATCAAAATAATTTAATGTATCAACAGTGGCGCCCGAACTAAAAGGTGGTGGATGATGATTCTTCACCACCAGGTTTTGGCGATTAACTCCCTTAAGCCCCAATGGCTGTTTAAAAGGGGGTATATAAGGTATTTTCTCCCTTTTTTCTGCATGCCTTCGTGGTGTAACGGTTAGCACACTCGGCGCGTATTCGAAAGGTCGAAGGTTCGAGTCCCGGCCAGGGCATTGCACATTGTCACTACCCGTGCTCCCCCCCAAAAAAAAGCCTAAAGACTCTACAACATTAAAAAATAAAACATATTTTTTCACCTAATTTTTTTTTTCTTATTCTGATGCATGCAACGATCTCTTTTCGCTTAGACATCAGAGAACTGCATAAACTTGGCGTCGCGCAAAACTTTGGCAATGCCCACAGGATATGTACCAAACGTATATCATCATTATTCCCTTGATTTTGTACCAAAATACAAAGATCCTGCAGAAATTTGGCAGCAGTTTCTTCCATTGATGGCAAATTCCATAAGCACGTATTTTAAAATTGAGCTTAAAGCAAAAATTATCATGATTTGTTTATAAAAGTCATTTACAAAAATGCCTATTTTATTTAACTGAAGGCCTGTTGTGAGCATAGTTGCCTGAAGAATGAAAATGTGCACTGTTGCCAGACTTTGACATATTCTGAAAATTTGATGACTTCTACTAATGTGATTGCTATAATAGTATGTAAGTACTAAATTATTATTAGTATTTGCCTGATTAATTATAATTTAATGTTTTGTAATAACTTAAGTTTCTAGTGATTGCTTTTCAAGCTAGTTTGCATATAATAGCTGTGTAGCTTAAGAATATTCTAAAGCATGAGGCACCCTTGATAAATGTATAAAGTTTCTGGATTATACTTTTCATAATGCAATTCGATTATTAGATTTCGTTATTTTATCCACTCACGCTTTTTTTTCATTTGTGATATAAAATGGTAGATGAGTTTTGTAAAGAAAATTATTAAATGTCTTTCACCCATAAAACATACGATAAATTACCTTTCTGCTTTTAGTTCATTATTGTACGAATTTCAAATAAAAGTTACAATTTTACAAAAACTTTTTTCCTATTAGCACCAGAGTTATTACTCTCGAAACTCGCTTTTTGTCTGTATCACGTTTGTGTCAGAATCACTTTTCAAATTGTTACCACCAAATTTCGTTAGGATGTGTTATTAAAAAATGAAATAATGAAGAATCTGTATGCATGGATGTATGTTCCTTGCATTATGTAAAATTGACGATATTTAGGACCATCGAATTTTTAATATGCTTAGTCCTTCACCCGAATATAGGCATTTGGAAGCCCGAATTTTGAATTTCGAATTTGTTTTTGATTTATTTCTTATTTAATATAAATTTAACTACATTTTCTTTCACAAGCTTAGTGATTTGAAAGCGGGAAGTGACAACATTGTTCGGAAAAAAACATTTTTATCTCTAGCGCGATAGACTGTTGCCACTGAGCAAAACGTAAGATATTTATCTTTCAATTTTAATCCACATATTCGGCTGTTTGAAAACAATATATTGCCCCTACCTCAAAAGGAATACTTATTATCTCTACGCAGTAGCGTTTTGCCATCCTGTAAAATGTAAGATATTTAAATTTCAAATTTAATTTTTTTATATACTGAGTAACAAATCAAGTGATTGAAAAGTAATAAACGTAGTTTGTTCTTAAGAATATTTTTCTACTTTTTAGTCCGATTATTTCAGTAAAAATGCATTTAAATCGTGCGATGTCTCATTAGAAATATTATAATGCCACCAGTTGGACTCACTAAAATCATCATGTAATTTTGCTTTGTTATGATAACTCCACTATATCGGGAATTCTACGATATATATATAAAGAAACCTAATATGAGGCTAAAAATTAAAAGCAAAACTTTTATACCTTTCCTGCGCTATAGCTGCAGGATTAAAATACAATAAACTTAAGGCATTTAAAGTTAAAAGTAAAATGGAGTCGAAGCAAGGCAATTCCTCAACAATATTAGTAATTGCAACCATATATAAATATAATAAAAACAAACTTAGACAAGTTACTTATGATGGAACACTGAAGCGTTAAAATGTAGAAATACTGACTGGGCATCACGTAGATAGGATAGATCCTAGATCCATACTGAAGAGGAAATTTGGCATCTGAGTAAGATTAAATATTCAACTTTATTTCAGTTAACATTTGTGGCCACAACTTACTTGGCACTCTAATCGTGCCTATTCAAGAACATTTATATTTCTGAATACTATTGTGATAAGAAAAGAGCACAGCGAAATAGCGTCCAAGCGGCAACAAAGGTAGAAGCCAAGTGCGCATTTATCCTGTATGGAAAATCGCCAACAGAAAGGTTTTGGTTTAGCTCAAGAAATGTTTCATTTCTCGAAATTTTGAATTTAGGTTCCAAATTAGCTACGTCATCAGCATTACGCAAACCATGAGGCATAGATTTATCTAGAAATGGTGCAGTCCAGAAATGTTATTATTTTTTTAGAATAGAGAGGAAATAACCAAATTAAAAAGAGGAATATAAATTAAATTATAAAGTTGATTTACATTTTTGTTATATATATATGCGTCATGATTCCCGGAACATAGGAATTGGGCTTACAGTCGTCGTAGCTGAGCGTGAGGGCTTACAGATGAAGATAACAAAGCATGAACTTAAAGAACTTCCAGTCTTTATTTAAGCATATAAAAAATCATCTCCATAGATGTTTATCCAATCATAATGAAATCCGAGACATTTCTATGATTCCATCATAATGAAATACGATAAATTGCTATTTACGTTGATTCTTAAATTTAAGATGCAGGCACTTTAGACAGGAAGCAAAGCAAGGAGATATTAGCGAGGTGGAAGCTAGCAGAAGTGACGTAATTAACTGCCAGGGGTTTTTATACCAGAGTAGGTGCGATTCTAGAGATAAGTTATGATTGGTTAGTTATTAGTTTTAGTTACCCTTTTCAAGCACCGTTACGTAACGCCGAAAGATCTCGAATTTGGGAGAACATATAAATTTAGGGGGAGATCACCAAATCTAGAATGTTAATTTTGAGGTTGTTAATTTTTTTGTAAAGTATATCTTACATATATATGCTATTTTTAGAAACATAAAGATATGCCATTTTTAGAAATGTAAAGATTTGCTATTTTTCAATATTTTGTGATTTCGCTCATGAATTTTATGTGACGTAAGAAAAGCGATGCTTAATAATAAAGATAAAAAAAAAAGTGTTAGCAGGTGTGAGTCCAAGAGCAGATTAAACCTGCGATACTTAGCGAGGGCATTAAGAATATTAAGAAAGCCTCTTGTGCGACGTTAAAACCTAAATTCTTTTAGATTTCCTTCCTTTTATTTCTTTCTTTCATTTTTTTTTTTTTTTTTTGGTTTGCTTTTATTTATTCTTTATTTTATTTTTATTTTCATAGTATTTTAAAGGAAACTCTTCCGAAATGTTTATTGCTTTCAGAATTTGGATTTGACATTCTTCAAAATTAAAAAATAGTCACTACAGGCAAATTTTGTCGAAAACTTCCCACGCGAAGCGATTCAATGAAATAAAACCATAACTACGTCCATAATAATTAAATCTTTCCTTCATTAAATAAGCACATAAGTTTTTACGTAATGACTTAAAACTCTTTCAGGTGTTAAAGAGTCTAACAGAGATCGAGCGTTAAAGCCGCTGAGATAATTCTATCTGAAGCTCTGGAGCTTAATTCCAAACAAACGGGCTGGCTGCACGTGCGTGTCAGTGGATTACTTCAAGTGTAACGTGGGTACCAGCCAAATTCCTTTAAAAACTTCTTCAGGAAGACTTTTCTTCCTCAATCCCAGGCAGATAGCCCGCGTGTGCTTTGTCGTGCCATAGTCAAATAAACCAAACCAATCTTTAGATCAACCTGTAATTAACAAGCAAAAACTTGGCTGTAATTTTTTTCTTAATTCAAGACCTGTTACGTATTTTTTTTTAAATTTAGACTGTGTTAAAAAATTTTTCTAACTTTTTGAGACTTTAATGGTGAAGTCATCGAGGGGTGGGACTATAATCTGAGGTTTTCAGATTGCAAATTTTTAATATTTTATATATATTTGCGTTTATTTTATTTATTTAAAAGTATTCAAAGGAAAGATTTATGATTCAAATTTACGCTTGAGAAAACAAGCAAAATACAATTCTGATGTTCCTTAACGAGCAGTAAACAAATCACACATAAAAGAAGACGAATCAGATAAACTCCCTTAAACGGAATAAAAATTTGTATGTTAGAAAAAAAAATTCTGCAGCAGGCGAGCGAGTTTGCCTATTGTGGACAAAATGAAAATAACAATCATAAAAATTAAAGGCGAGTGAACAAACAAATGAAGAAATTCTCTGAGCAGTAGGCGGTTTGAAATTAAACGACCTTTAAATGAAAGTGAGCAACACCCTAATACAATTCCCAGGCTTGCCATACACGCCGGTGTCGTTTCTGCCACGCTTTGATTAGAACAGTCCATCACACGACCTTGGGTCGCTTAAAGATAGGCTGCATTTTTTCCCATAAATGAATCACGTCTTGTCAGTGCCGCTTATTATCATCTAAATCGGCCACGGCTGAGCGAAAAAACTATCTTGGATGAAAAGCAGACGATGTTTTATAGCTTTCGTAAACGGTATGCAGGTAATTTTCTTAAGTAGGAAAAATCTGATGTGTACACCACATGACTTCCTTGTACGGAATATTAAATTATACGCATTTTTCTCTTGAATTTCATTTAAATTGATTGGATTGAATTAAATTTACTTCGTCGACAGCGCATAAACCACAATAGAATAAATGCACTCGTTAAAATTCACTATATTTGTTTTCTATAACGACACTCTGAATGCACAAAATGTATATCATTTGAAGAATTATCGTTGCCACATGTTCTATTCAAATTCTATAATAAAGCTAAACGATGTATGAAAGAAATTAAGCAAACAAAACAGAAAAGAAACAGTTTTCACAGACGATTTAGTATTTCTCATTCAATTAATTCAGTTCTTACTTCGCGACAAGGCAAAAATACATAAAAACTCAAAATATCTGCATTAAAAATTACGAAGTAAATCTTAAACACTTATTTCCTCGAAAAAATTCCAGAAAGGTTTAAGCATGATTTAATTCGCAATAATTAATGAAGGCGTTATTTTTGTGTTGCGAAGCTTAGTCTCTCTAAATTGGCAACAAATCTACAATTATGCTGTTTCAAATGTAAACAAATATGTCCGCCATGTTATTTAAAACTTAACCGCACTTAAACAGCTTTTAAATTGTTGATAATTCTACAAATATTGTTTCCAGAATTACGAAAGGCATAAAAACCTTAACCGGAAGATAAAAACAACATAATTCAATCATTTTTAAAACAAAAAATGTACAATTTACCAACATATAAGAGTAAAGAAACTTAGATCACTGAGCCGGGTAACAGAGTGGATATACATATAAACATATTTATATACGTTTGGTGCGGCCGATTGCAACCAAAATACGAGGTGCACATCTACATGTTATAGCAGTCCTATATACAAAATTTCAACCTTCTGAGACTACTCGTTTTTCAGTTATGCGAGATACGTACGTACATACGTTCGTACAGACGCCACGAAAAATTCTCTTCAGAATTAATTTTAAAGCAGTT